AAATGCCATTTTAGGGCTTACGAAATGAATGCCATTTCAGATCGTACAAAATGAATGCCATTTATGCGCTTAGAAAATGAATGCCATTTCAGATCTCACAAAATGAATGCCATTCCAGAACCTCTATTTTGTACATATGTTGAAAGATTAGTAGGTGGAGATGTATTTGACGCGTAGTTCAGAAAGTTTTTTGGTTGCTGTCATGGCAATGATGAGGCAGGAATTTTTGTTCAAGTTTCAACTTAATCAATCTAGCCCCCAAAAAATCACAGAAGAGTTAATATGTACAAGTGAACAGACAGAGAGACACAGGCAGATGAGTGGACGAATGTAGTGATTATTCTAATCCTAGCTGACTGCGAGTCACCACGGTTCTTTTTTAGTAACCGTGGAGTCACCAATATTATAGATCACCTTCACATGATTTCAGAAGGTGTCAAAGTGATGTCTATGATCACTTGATCAGATCAATACATGACAGGTGTCACATGTAGAGCAGGATAAGTTTTTTTAAAAACAACCTATCATCACTTCTTCGCAGTTTAAAGTTAACAGACTGCCAAGTCTTGTCCTATAAGGCTACCATTTTCCACAATGTGGAGCCCAGTGTGTGAAACCACTGAATCCTTTGTCTAAAAGACTTTCTGGGTTGTGTCTATATTGATGTCTCTGAGGTAATTGTTTTCAAAGTTGGCACAAACAAATTATATAAACATAAGTTTCTATGCCAGCATGGTATTACTATATTTATAATGAAATGGTTGTACTTTATATCTGTAGATCATTGCCAACATGACTCTATTAATCATAACTGCTGTAATCAGTGGGACAGCATTGTTACCAACTTCCGCATTGGGTATTGCTAATGAACAGGAATGTAATTACTGGTATCATGATTACTGGTATGATCATCGATCTAGCTGGTCATGTGACTATAATCGCTATGTAAGTACATTCATATCTAAAATATATTACATATTGAATAATGTAAAAAAAAATTAATCATTTCAAAATTATGTTATAAGAAAATATGTATAGCGGTTACATACATATAAATGAAGATAAGATTTGTTTAATATAAATTATTTTTATTTTCGCTGTTGACTTTGTGTGTCGAAGCTTATCATATGAGTGATTATCCATCGTCTGTCATCATCCGTGCCAACTTTTTACTTCTTCGACTTCTTGAAAAACTACAAGCCTGAATGCTTTGATATATGGTGTATATGTACCTTGGGTAGACCTCTCTTAGATTTGTTCATTTCATGATGATATCTTCAATTCTCTAATTTTGGTGAATATTTTTGGTAAAAAGTGATATTTTCGACTTTGTGTTAAAAAACACAAGTCCGATTGCTTTGATACTACATATATAGGTACTACATAGGGACCTCTCTCAGATTTGTTCATTTCGTGATGATATCTTCAATTCTCTAATTTTGGTGAATATTTTTGTAATTTTTAGTAAAAGTGGTATTTTGGACTTCTTGTTAAAAACAACAAGTCCAATTGCTTTCAAATTGATATTACACATATGTGTACTACATGTGGACCTCTGTCAAATTTGTTCATTTTGTGATGATATCCCTAATTCTTTAATTTTGGTGAATATTTTTGTAATTTTTGGTAAAAAGTGATATTCTCTACTTCTTCTTGAAAATCGCTAGCCCGAATGCTTTGATACTTGGTATGTAGATACCTCAGGTAGACCTCTCACAGATTTGTTCATTTCGTTATGATATCTTCAATTATCTAATTTTAATGAATATTTTGGTTATTTTTAGAAAAAAGTGATATTTTCGAATTCTTGTTGAAAACAGCAAGTCCAATTGCTTTGATACTATACATATTGTTCATTTTCTAATGATATCTTCAGTTCTTTAATTGAAATGTGCATTGCTAACAGCGGAGCTATCTCAGCCGATAGGCTGCTTGTTTATAGAACCCCATTGGAAGTTCACTGCTGCAGTATTGCAGGATTTTCACTGCTTTGTTAATCTTTTAGAGATGTTTATATATTTT